AATTTGGTGTTTCTAGGTCCAGTGGTTTGGCCTGGGTTTATGATTTTATGGTGAGGGGACTTTCTTATATATATATATTCAGCAGGCTCATATATATATATGCCTGCTGAATAAAATTGTCTGGAGCTTTGCAGTCACCACTGAACTGACACCCTGCTCTATATTTCATTATCTAAGCCTCCAGATACATCCTTCTTGGTTCTGAACTTTGAGGCTTTGTGAACTTTGGTTCACAGCTTTGAGGCTGTGCTCAGGTGGCTAAGGCAGAACAAACTGAAGAGGAATCTAGAGAAGGATGTAATGCTGGTTAGGAAGGCTGATATTCTAGAGGGACTGAATCCTCTTGTCCTATATGGAATAACTCTGGCTTTTTCAGAGCAGGTTCTGAGCTTGGTGGTGCTGATGGACCCTGCCTTGCTGTTTGAAAAGCAGGCCTGCATGATGGCCAGGAGTGCCTTCTACCAGCTGCATCTGATTCATCAGCTTCTCATCACCTAGATCCAGCTGATCTGGCCATGCTGATCCATGCTTCTGTAACCTCACAGCTGGGTCACTGCAACATGTTCTATGTGAGGCTGCCCTTGAAGACATCTGGTCCAGAAGGTGGCAGCCTGACTGCTGTCAGGGGCTAGCTGCCAGGAACACATGTTGCCCATTTTGAAACAGCTACATTGGCTGCCAGTTTGTATCGGAGTTCAATTCAAGGTGCTGGTTATGACTTGTAAAGCCCTTCATCACCTGGAACCCACATATTTGAGGGACCATCTCCTTCCATTTGACCTTATGCACCAACTATGGTAATCAGGCAGCCATCTGTTGACTATACTACTTTTCCATTGTGGCTCTGGCTATTTGAAATGGGCTCCCTGAAGAGGCAAGGCCTGCTTCTTTGCCAGGGCTTTTTAGGGAGGGTTGAATAGCAGTCATCTTTTAAGTGGGGAGGGATCTGAGCCTTGTTATGTTAATCTTTGGTTTTAGCTGGAGATGTTTTAACTATTATTGTAAGCCACCTTGAGCCAAGACGAAAGGCAGAATATGAATGTTTGAATGAATAAATAAAACATAAATAAGTAGAAACTTCATTAAAAAAAATTCTCGGGAACTTGAATTCGGCGCTGAGTACCTGTCAGCAAGCTGCCAAAGGTTCTTTTCTATATGTATATGTTCACCCATTAGGTTCTTTCCCCCCCCCCTTCCGTAGATGCGGTTGTCTGGTCATACGCAGTAGCCATGCATTCCTTTCAGAGTACGCCAGTCCTGCTTTGATGTAACGCTATCTCGCCAAGGCCACAGGTGGAAGAGCAGAGGAGCTTGCTTTGACTTTAATTAGTACAAGCCGTGGGAATAGCATATCTATTTACAATTAGGTAGCCGTTGCTTTCCCAAGGTTTAGGCGCGCGAGAGACCCCTTGACCACGCGCGGGAACCGTGTTTATTGGCTGTTATGATTATGAACTTGCTTTAACCTTTCATGCCTCTTGGGTTTTCGTTATTCTGAACAGTGACCCAGTTCATGTGCTTCATGGCTTCAATAAAGTAAAATCTTCTTGCAAGTGTGTACTATGTTGTTTGCTGTGGGGACCTGACAGTACCACACTCTGTGCTTCTGAAGAATCACAGTATACACGCAGGGTGCAGACCTGAATGTAGCCATCCCCAGGCGCACTAACCATGTAACATGCTGGCAACTGGATGCATTGCTAGATACAGCGATGTGCAACTCTTGATGGGCTAGCAATGTAAAGCACTTTCAGTGATGCAAAGCCATTACATGGTAGAGAGAGGATGTGGTCAGGATGCTCTGAGTGACAGACTGGATAAACCCAGGGATGGGAAATATGACTGAATATACTTGAATGCTACAAGACACTTGCAACACTGCAGCAGACTCGGCTAGGGTTGCTAACCACCAGGTGGCACCTGGAGATCTCCCGCTATTACAACTGATCAGTTTCCCTGGAGAAAATGGCTGCTTTGGAGTATGACCTCTATGGCATTATACCCTGCTGAGGTCCCACCCCACCCTCCCCAGGTTGTACCCCTAAAATCTCCAGGTATTTCCCAACCCAGAGCTGCCAACCCTAGATTTAGCCCATATTTTAAATGTGGCAAATTAGAAAAGGAAGCCTGTGTTGCTGTTCTTACAACTGCTGGAGACTACAAGAAACCTGGCTTCATACTCCTCCTTAGCCTTGGCTTTTCCAGTTAACCTCAGGCAGGCCAAGACTCTCAGCCACCTCTCCCATCTATACGATGACGTGAATAAGAATGTTTCAAGGATCAACAAGTGAGAGACTGTCAATCTGTCAAATCACTCCTCAAAACCCAACATTTCACTGAAGTCTTTGGCTTTACCTCCACTACATCTCCCCCACTGAAGTAAAGCTAATGTGACAGAAACAGAATGGGAGGAGCTGTGGCTCACTGGTAACTAGAGTTCATATACAGTTTTACAATATACAGGGTCAGTCCCCAGCAGCTGCACTGAAAGGATCAGGCACCAGTTGATGTGATAGACCTCTACCTGAGAACCTAGCCTAGAAAGGTATTGCCAGTCAGAATACTTACCTTGGTAGACCAATGGCCTGACTCAGTATACGGCAGCTTCATGTTTTCATCTACACCTATTCCTATAACAGAAATGTTATGTTCATCTGTAAGTACTTCCTTTGTGCAGCTGCACTTGCCCACAGTCTTTCCTGATTACACTCAGAAGTAGCAGCAGGCATCTCCCCTCACCCCTATGTTGCCTTCATAATCTGTTTTTGACTTCTTTTCACTCTTAGGTGGTAAATCCCAAAAAGAAAATGAAGAAAAAGAAGTATATTAACTCAGGAACAGTAAGTAACACATCTTTAATTCTTGTTTTACAGAAACAGGAAGGAAGTGTTTCTCCATTGGGGGTGTAGTTGGCCTCTAATCATCCTGGCCAAGTGCTTTGCCATTTGGCGCAGGCTTTTTAAATTTAGCATCAGGGAGCCAAAAGGCAGGTACCATTGGTATACACGCAGGCAAACTGGACAGTGAATGAGGATGATACATTTCCTACTGCTGCTACTATTCAATTGCCTTGCCCTAGACTAATCCCAAGCATGTCTGTTGTATAATGGTTTTTTGGCTTTCTTAGAGATCTGTAAAAATTATTTTATTCTGGAATTCATTTAATGATAGAAGAATGCAATTGATTTTCTGACATAGTGTTGATCAATTTGTTTACTGCTGTTACTGACATTTATTGCTTACTGCTGGATTTATTTCTTTTATTAAATTGTAATTATTTTAGCATGGGTTTTTTTACTGCTGTTTTGTTACAAATTGTTGTGCTGTTGCTAATTTCTTTTATCATTGGGGTAGACTTTTGTATTGTATTTTCTTTTCAGCTTTTACTTGTCAGCTTCTTTGAGTGTTACTTTAATAAATTAGTAAACTCTGCTATTCATGGTTCACATTTCCTGCAATGTTGAATGTTTTGACCTCAGTCTAGTGTGAAACGTTCCATGAAAATACATACATCTTCTATAAATAGCAGCTTCCCATTTATAAATGAAGCCATACTCAAATACATCCACAAATCATTTTTTCAGGCTAGGAAGATGGAATGTGGCACATTTGTAGTGCTTCTATGAGTAACAGTGGGGAAAATAGATAATACACTTCTAAGAATTGGGATGTTCTACCCCAGTGGCTCTTCACCAAATTTTAAAAAGAGGAATTTTCAAGTGTGGTATACTTGAATGTAGGGAAAAAAAAGGGAAAGATTCTGGATTTACTAAGAATTATGAGTATGTTCATTTCAAATTTCCCATATCGCCTTAATAAAACCCTTCAGTCTAAAGGAAAGAATGATGATCACATTTGTGAGTGTGTGTGCATTATGAATGCATGAATAAGTTGTTATTCATTTTGCTGACCCACCGCCTTGCTGACGTGGGGCTCCAGGGGCTCACCCTTCAATGGCTTGCCTCTTTTCTCCGCGGTCGGGGACAAAGGGTGGCGATAGGGGAACAGCAGTCCCGGAGACACCCTCTTGAATGTGGGGTGCCTCAAGGGGCAGTTCTTTCCCCAATGTTGTTTAACATCTACATACGCCCCCTTGCCCAGATTGCCTGGAGGTATGGGCTTGGGTGTCATCAATATGCAGATGACACCCAGCTCTATCTGATGTTGGGCGGCCGGTTGGACTCTAGTCCAGAAGATCTGCACTTGGCATTGCAAACCGTGGCTGGTTGGCTCCGACTGAGTCAGCTGAAGTTAAACCCGGTGAAGACAGAGGTCCTGGGCCTGAGTCGGGGTGATCTGGGGTTGGGGCTCCCTCTCCCGACCTTCGATGGGGTGCCTTTGGTGCCAGCGCCGGAGGTTAGGAGTTTGGGAGTGCTCCTGGACTCCTCACTAACTATGGAGGCCCAGGTGGCAGCCACTGCTAAGTCAGCTTTTTACCACCTCCGGCTGGTGCAGCAGTTGGTTCCCTTCCTCGACCGCAGTGACTTGGCCACAGTGATCCATGCGACGATCACCTCAAGGCTAGACTACTGTAACACTCTCTACATGGGGCTGCCTCTGTCACAAATCCGGAAGATGCAGCTGGTACAGAATGCTGCGGCCAGGCTGTTGATGGGTCTTCCTAGTAGGGACCACATCCAGCCTGTTCTGAAAGCACTGCACTGGCTGCCGATAGTGTACCGGATTCGCTTCAAAGTGCTGGTTCTCACCTTTAAAGCCCTATTTGCCCGGGGTCCAGCATACCTAAGGGACTGCCTTTCCCCATATGTTCCCCCATGGGCACTACGGTCGGGGACGCAACATCTCCTGGCGATGCCAGGCCCCAAGGAGACCAGGCTGGCTGCTACCAGGGCCAGATCCTTCTCGGTGGTGGCTCCTACCTGCTGGAACGAGCTCCCGGAGGAGATCCGGGCCCTGCGGGACCTCGCACAGTTCCACAGGGCCTGCAAGATGGAGCTCTTCCGCCAGGCGTTTGAGTAGGAGCCGCCACTATTGTACCATCATTATCTGGCCCTGGAAGAAAGAACGACAACGCCAAGCGGAACAAACCGCACTGAGGGGGTATAGCAGCATTAATACGTCATCTTTATGGAAGATCAATTCGGAACATCCAGAGCACTTAATAATGTTGTAATATTGTAGAAATGATTTCAAATGGTTTTAATTGTGTTTTATGTGCGGGCTCATGCCTGATTGTGATCCCGCCCTGAGCCCAAGTAGCGGGGAGGGAGGGCTATATATTGAACAAATAAATAAATAAATAAATTTGTTAACTTAATGGGATGGGGCCATGGCTCAGTAGCAGAGCATCTGCTTTGCATGCTGAAAGTCTCAGGTTTAACTGGCAGCTCCAGTTTAAAAAGTCAGATAGTAGGTGGTACAAAAGACCCTTTTGCCTGAGACCCTTAACTATCATTGCCAGTCTGGATAGACAGACAGTACTGAGGTTGATAGACCAAGAGCCTGACTCTGTATAAGGCCGCTTCATATGTTCATTTGCAAAATGAGCACCTTCATTTATTAAGGTTCATTGCCATGCCCTCCCCCTCCACCCAAATTTCACAGTTTATATTTAATGGTTCCTCATTGTGCTAGGGCATTTGCTCTAGCTTGCCTTAATGCTAACTTCTCTGAAGTATTGTGTGGGAGATTTTGTAATATTCCATATTGAGATCATCTTTGCCTTTGTGGCCAGGGTAAAATTGATACTTTATCTCATAAAATACTAGAATACTCCTTTTTAAAACAGTTTTTAGGAATCACTGGATTTTACTTGTTTTATCATGTTTATCATTCAATAATTTTCAAATAGATGTTAATTCCCTATGTGATGTGAGACTGTGATCCGAACATAACGTTATTGGTTGCTAAATTCCTGTCATATTTTCCTTTAGAAACTAATTTAGTATTCTTCTAGTCATTGCTTTGGATTTCTTATTTAAATGATCTTATTTGCTGTAACAATATCAGGCAATAATACCGTTCATTCATTACAAAGTCCTTAATTTCACCAAGAAAGGAAGGAAGGAAGGAAGGAAGGAAGGAAGGAAGGAAGGAAGGAAGGAAGGAAGGATTTCACAGATGAAAACACCCTTGTTCTCCTACCAAGGATTGCTACCTGAGCTCCCTGTTGCAAAATGCTGAATGCTCTGCCCTATCCACTGTATGCTGCATTTATGTATTCTGCAACTATTTGTTCAAACAGTTATAAAAGCCACAGAATGGTAAAAAAAAACCCTGTCCTTCAGTCTTTTATGAGCAGCTCTAAATGTCCCTCACTAGCGTATGAAATGACAGGCTGTGCACTGCATGACATCTTCAGTGTTCATGCATGTGCAATTCCATTCATGCACATCACAGATCTGCAGATGCATTCCAACCCCACAGATGCCCCGAGGAAAAGACTAAACCTTGAAAAATGACAGTGCTAGCAAATCACACTAACAATTTTAATAAGTCATCTTCAAAAATCAGGACAAATAGGGACAGAAATCAGAAAAGGGGGACTGGCCCTGATAAATAACGATGGCTGGAGTGAAGAGTACTGTTTTCCAGCACTGAAACTGGAGATATACTTAACCTTTACAAACGTGTTAGATGGTAGTTTGCCACCTCCTCACAGGGCAAGAAATTCTGCTACTTCATTTCTACATCAGGAATGATTGAGTGGTCCGATTGCAGAGTTACCCACTCCCAGAGGAGACTGACTGGAAGGGGGCAAGCCCAGAGGTATGATTACTGCAGAGAGTAAACAGCACTATGGGTGGCTCATTTGAGCTCCCAGGAGCCTTTATGTGATTAATTGGAACACACTGACAGTTCTTGCAGAGCATGCTGGTGCTCCCAGCACAATGTTTGAGAATTACTGAAGGAGACAAAATGTTTTTTATAAGATAATCACTGATATAGTTTATGGACTAGCAACCTATGGGTTGGGAGCCAAACATGGCTCAGTATATTTATTTACTTATTTGGTTCTATTTGTATCCCGCCCTCCCTGCAAGCGGGCCCAGAGTGGGTTCCACCATAAAATTCACAATGTAACAATATAACAAATCGACAATTAAAATCTATCTAAAAAATCTATCTAAAAAGAACATCATTATAAAAACTCCGATGTCTCAACAGATCTTAGCAAGAAGCAGTTGGTTCCCAGATGGCCATTCGGCTCTGAGGTCACTGGAAGGGAGGGTCAATCAGCATGTGAGCACCTGCTGCCCCAACTATAGAACCAAATATGGCTTTGTGAACACATGGTATCACTCACTGCAACAACCAGCGAACAAAATGAGGCAGCAGCTGAAGTCCCGTGGAAAAAAGCCTGAGAATACCAAGTTATTGTGGCATAAAAATATGCAATTATCAATCAATATTTCAATTATCAATAACATTAGGTTGCATATTTTCAGTTGTGCAAATGGGCTTTCTTTTACTGGCTCTTTGTTGATCTCTTGCTCTGAATTTTGACATCGTTTGGCTCTTGAATTATAAAATGTCGCCAACCCTGGGTTAGAGCAGGGGTCGTTTCGTAGAAAAAGAGCTAGGGGAACTCATTAGCATAACTCATTAGCATATGCCACACCCCCTGACATCACCGGAAGTGTGTCATAAGGCCACACCCCCTGACATCACCGGAAGTGTGTCATAAGGCCACACACCCCGCCCCCAACGGTCCCGGCCGCCACCGCTGCTCCTGCCTCCTCCTGGCTGAATGAGGGCCGGAAGCGGGGCGGCCGGAAGCAGGGGGCGGGGCTTCGTCATGTGCCCCGCCCCCCATACCTCACCCGGGGGAACTGCAATCCCCCGCGATCCCCCCCGAAATGACCTCTGGGTTAGAGTG